GGTCATAATGTCTTCTCTTTTTTTGCTTCTCTATTACTCTGTGGAGAGATATTGAATCTTGTATGCAAATTCTCATTCTTTATACAGAAGTGAGGGGGGTTTTGTTGTTGTTGTTGTTTTTTCACAAAACATCCCAAAAGCTAAAAATTGCTATCTTGCCTTCTGGGAAAGTAGGAGACCATTTCTTTGATTATCTATGCAAGAAGATAAGCTACCAGAGTGGCAATTTTCATCCTTACTTTGGTAACTCTTAATTTCATTCTCAGAGTAGTCTCTTCCTTCTGAAGGCACTAGGAGCATCAGAGAATAGAAGAAATGAATCAAATCCTGAGCTCCATTTAACTCCATCGATCAAAGCAGCAAGCACAGGCTGTCCTCTTGGGAGCTGCTGTGGCTTCGTCCGAGGAGAGAGGGAAGAATACAAGTGTCTGTGGCGGGCGAGGAAATTGGGCAACATGCTGAGTTCCCTTTTTATTACTTCCAGTGACCACATTTGCCCCTATACAGCTTACATGGTCTGAGTAGTCTAAGGATGAATGGAAGCTAAAAATGAAAATGCATGGAGGAATTTGAAGAGATTTACCTGTGCGGGAGGGTCAGTACAAAGCCACTGCATCATGCTGGCTTTAAAAGTTATTTTGAATAGGACTTGAAGCAAAACATAATGGAACGGAATTTCTCACAGCAGGGAACCAGATCTCTGAGCAGAGCGAATTGTCCAAAGGAAAGTATGAGGTGAACATCACCCATAACGATTATTTAGCAGGATAACTGCTGTCAGTTTTGGCTCAAAGGTTGTCTTTAGACCCAGAGAAGCTCTGACTCGTTTATCATAAGAACTAACTGACTTCTCCAACGATATGCCCTACAAGGGAAAGATGTTTTATAACAGAAAGACACGGATTGCAGAACCTCTACTTGTTGTTGCTTTTCTATTGGTGTACCATTTTCTGGGGAAAATGATAGGCTATTTACAGACAAACCAGATCGCCAACTGCAGACTGCCCAAATTAAAATAAACAACAATTACATAGCACTTATGCCTTTAAAAAAATTACTTAAAGATCCTGGGTTTTGGGGAATTGAAGATATAAGAAAAGATGGAGGAAGGATCTAAAATACTGAAAAATATCTTTGATATTTTCTATTATGCTAATTTGGTATACTGAACGGGAAGGGATGAAAGTTAATGTATTGATTTATAGAAATTGTTTGATTGGCCCTTGTGTGGGAAAATAAAAAATTTCTCCCCTGCCCATGCCTCCGTTATATTTTACTGAGCAAATTCATGCTTGCTTAACGTATCCATTGGTAGCTCTTGCATGAATCCAGACAGAAAAATCACTTAACTTTATAGGATGCTGAATCCTGGTATCAAAAGTCAATAGCATATTTTCTCCTAGTAGCTTTGCATTTACTTTAAAAGCTTCCCTTCGCCTGGAAATAAGGAAGGCCTGCACGTATCTTCACAAAGTAGGTGTTCCCTGACACTAATGCAGTGACTGACACTACTGAAAGTAATAGTCCTGTTCCCTTTGCAGCCCAGAGCTCCTAAATCTGCTTTTTGTTATCAGTATAATGGGGTTGAATACATTTTTAAAAGGTGGTAGCTATTGATTACTTAATGGAAAAAGTTAGTTTAGAGAATTGCTGAGCAGCCCTATTTAGTGCTCTCCAGTGCAACAAGACCATTATCTAGAATAGTGGAACTCATCCTGTAACCCTTATTAATATTTAATAGGGATGAAGCAACATTGAAGTACACTACAAAATAGCCCAAGGCTTCTGCACATGTAGGATATAAGGTTGTTTCAAGGGTTGAAAAAGAATAACTGATTTCCCTGTGCTCAAGCTGTTTATAGGTAAGGCTCACCATAAACAATGTTTTTCCTCTTGTTCCTTTTAAAGTATTTGCAGCACATCTGCACTTTAATATACAGTTATTCCTACTAGACATCTTGAAGTGATTGAATGCAACAGAAAGGTCAGTGTATGTTTAGAGATCACTGTGTGAGACTATTTTATACTTTCCCAATATTGCTGTGAATTCCAACCTCCCTCTTTCTATCCCTTCTGCTCCATGCTGCAGGGCACATTTGGCTGGGTTGACAAGCCAGTGAAAGGTGTTAATCCTGTCTAATAGAACCGTAATCCTTGGGGCTGTGTTTTTATATCATACTATTGAGCTAACCCCTTGTCACAGGATATTGTTCGTCTCCTTAATAGCAAAGTTCTTTATGGGAATTTTAGATAAAGTTAAAGTGTACAATCCAAATTGTCCCTTTCAATTTCACAGGGTAAAAACAAACAAATAAACCACAATGTTTAGCCAACAGAGATTTTCTGAGAGATTGCAATCAATTAAGAGGAGAGCTGTGTGATTTTTTTCTCTCTTTTTTTTCCCCCCTCGGTGAATAAGTAAATGTCATTTTACTTGTCCAAAAATATTCACAAATCTGGGTCAGCTTCTTCAAATAACCTTTGGCTGGAAACATTTTTCAGGTTAGATGTGCCCAGAAATGTAGTGAATAAATGGTGTTATTTCTATTTCTCTTAAGCTGCAGTGGTTAGAACATGGTCCCAAAACATGGGTACATTTTCCTCTTCCACCTGGCCATGCTCAGGACTCTCCCACTGTTATGTCCACTTTTTTGGGGGGAGGGGAGAAGTTGGTTAATAAATAAGTGTGGGAAAAGAGGGAAATGAAACAGCAAGGAGTTTTTATTTTCACTTGTGTTCCAAGAGATGCTGATTTTCTTCTTCTCCAACGGAGCCTTTAAGACAAAGTATTTGCACATGGTTTCCCGTAGCTTTTCTTTGGCATATTTTTTTTTCCCTCTGCAGACTACATTTAGTTTAAAAGTGACTGTGTGTAAGAGATAAAGGAGCTAATATGGATAGTAACCCTGAGATTTATGAGCAGGGACACAATAAGATGGGATCCTTCCTGGATGGAAACACCCAGGGGAGGTATGTCTGTGCTCCACGTAGCTGGTATCATTTTGACGAACTCCTTCCTTAAGACCACAGTCGAAAAGCCTGAATGCCAACTTGCCACCCTGTGCGGCATCAGGAGGCTGACACTGTTACTGATGAAGTCCCACAGAGGAATTACTGCTGCCAGGAAAGGAGAGCATAAGGAGACAGAGCAGCAAACAGCAGTGGTAGCTGTGGGCAGAACAAGCACGGGGACACACCAGCACTCAGAAACTTGCCAGCAGCTGGAAACGTTACTTAGATCTTGGCTCAAACAGGTCTTTGGTTTTCCAGCTTTCTGGAAGACGTCACTCCCGCAGCATTACTAACCCTGACATCTGGGTAGGGAACCGGAGGACGAGGGTGGCAAGGGCAGCGTTCCCTGCAGCGCTCGGTGTTTGGGCAGTTCTGCTCCTCTTACCATCTCCTTAGCTTCTCTGGAAGCAGGCTCATGCCGCATTAAGCGTGTCTGAAACATGAAGGCAGGCAATGGCACCAGCTACTAAGCCAGTCCTTTTCTCCTCCCTTTTTGTTGCCCAAAGAATGGTCTACCTCAGTTGCTTCTGAGGCTACCTTGAGAAAACTCTTACCTGATAGAGAAGATTGGAAAGCTGTAACGGCAGAGCAGAGCCAGGAGCTCACAGGCCCTTTTGAAGCTTGTGGCATTTTGGGATGGAGGGCAAAAGGAGGTAGCTGGAGATGCCAGAGGAAGGGGGCATGATGCGTGTTTTAGAAACCTGGGGAGACATTAAAAGATGGGTCTTGTGGCTTGGGGGTAAGAAAGCAATGGAGCAAGGAGCTGGTTTGGCTGAAATCACGTGGGCATGGTAAATGGATGAATAAATATGGGAAAACCTGTAATTGGGTAGTCTGAAATCAGTTTTGTGTTTTTTCCCTCCAGAGGGGATTTTGAACACTCAGAAATACACTGAGATGATATTGCATAGTATATAATAGTAAACCCTGCTTTAAGAAATCTGATATTGCATTGAAAGACTTTCACTTAGTATGGAAGAGTGAAGAACTTTAAAAAAAGGTGTCATTCTAGATTTAGCTTTGAGTGTTGGTGAAGATATAAAAACAAGCTCTTAAATACACTGTAGAGTTGATAAATGTCTGAATTCTGGCTGTTATTAGGGCCACACTTAAAGGGACTTCTGACTTGTCATCAATACCAATTTTATGCAGTTTGCCACCATGGGCAGTGGTGCCTGGGCAGGTCTGGCAGGTAGTTCTGTGTGACCTCTCTTGCAAAAGCCTGCTGTGCCACTTCCCTCCTTACCATGCCAATTAGCCACACACAGAAAGGGTGAAAATTAGAAGGAATTAAAAGTGATTCATTCATGGTCTCTTCATGCACAGATCAGGTGATGCAGCCTTTCTCATGTGCTGTGGCACAGGGAAAAAATTGTACCTGTGTACATCCAAAAATCAGATTTTTGAATTGGGGGATTGGGAAGAAAAGCACAGGGCCCACTTGTTTATTCAGTTACTCTCTCTGCAACATATGCATTTTTGAAAAAATATATTCATAATCCTCAGCAGTCCTTGCTGATTCCTGTTGGTAAAGAACCATAAACAGTCTCCCCAGCTGTGACAGTAAACTGTATAAATTGCCACAGTTGACACCACCAAAACCGACTCTATAGCTCACATAATATTTATGGAAACACCTTTTTTTCTAAGCCCTCGGACAGCAGTCTTACCTAGAAGCAACTCATAGATATCTGTGTATAATTAATATGAAACTGATGTAGAAGAACTCAGTCATATCCGTGATCTAGTTAGTATTTGAAACAGTATTGGTTCTCTTACTCATTTTTCTGCTTCTGGCTCTACAGTCACAATCTTTTTTCCCTATAGTCACCTCCTAGTTTGTTTCTAGCTGGATGTAGCTGTTCACGGTCTGCTGATCTGGGAGGAATTTTTAACATAAACAGGCAACTTGATAGTTGTATTTAAGTCTTAATAACAGAACAAAACACCGTCAGTGAGTTGAGGTTTGTCTTCTCTTTTTTTTACAGCGCACAAGCAGCTTTGGAAGCTTTGACCGTTTCAGGCATCACTCGGTATCAAAGACAGATGATTCAGCTGAGGTCTGTATAACACAGAGTTTTGCTTTCTTCAGTTCACTTTCCCACAACAGTTATGCAAAAACATAGGGAAACTACTGTGTAAATTCTACACTGGTGAGAACTTTGCTTGTGTACCTGGATCTGACTGGGTGACTAAGCCCTTGCCAAAACAAATAAAGAGGATCACACCTAAACTTTGGTACTTTAATGGGAAAATTAGAAACAATTTTTCAAGAACACAAAAGTGCACTTCAGGTTGGTGCATGCCCAAAGTAACCAGCATGTGCATGCAACCCACAGGTGTGTTGTTTTTATTTTCAAGAACCTGCATAAATCCCCTCAATTCTTATTTGGATTAAGGACAATAAACAATGGGAAACAACATTTTCTAGCATAAAATGTATTTTTTTTTCTCTCATTCACACATACAGTGGTGTGCTGTAAATCTGTTTAGCTACAAGGTTCCCCAGGAAAATGGTTATGACTGACTTTTGTCATCCTAACTGCATTGGTATCATTAATATTTGTCTGTAGTTCCTATTCCGCTACAGTGAATTTAATTTTCATGGTGAGTTGTTGCTTACTTTTTTATTTTGAATCAGATATCTGAGTTGGAGACTATAAGTGACATTGGAGATGCAGTACAAACTAAAGCAGCAAATAATGGAGGAAGTTTGGGTAAGAAGATGAGAGCCATTTCCCTTACCATGAAGAAAAAGATGGGCAGAAAGTACATCAAAGCACTGTCTGAGGACATGGTAAATACAGCTTAAGAATCTCATGTTTGATGATAATACGTGTGAAGTAAAAATATTACGTGCATTTTTCCTGTTCACGTTTCCGTTGTCATCAGTTATGATAATCCATAAAAACATGGTAACACATACTGAATTAAAACAGCTTTTAGTAGCTACCCTTTCTTCCACGTGAGTGTTAATGTACACACACGTACACAAATACAATTAAAGCATTACGCAGTAAGGTCCCAAGACAGACACAGGAGTTTTACATCATTGAATTTTGCTTTGTCATTAAGGAGCATTTGTATAAGCATCACAGAAAAATCTCCTGATGTGGACACAAGGGAGTATCGGGTGATCCCCATTGGCAGTCTGATACTTGACCTGTACACAATGCTTCATTAGAACAATTTATCTTTCAATGCAAGAATTATTTCCAAAGTCCATTTTGTAGAGGTCAGCCAGCATCCTAAACCATGACAACTCATATGCCTTATCTGCTTTTACCTTATTTAATCGTAGTGAACTTATCTTTATTAAACATAAAAAACTCACGATGTTTCACATACTGCAAACACTGTTTTCTCAATATGTTGTGTTAGTGAGTTCCAAATTTTAAAAAACATAAGGAAAAAAGACTTGTCCTACTTAATCATCCTAAAAAATCTAGCTAGCCTGCATCTTATCTCACACCTGTCAATAGTAAATAAGTAGACAAAATAAATAAGAAACTTCACAAGTAGAAAATAGTGTTTCACAGGATGCCTTTAGACAGTTTTTGGAAGTCAAAGACAAGGATTCCTATTTCATTAGTTTAGTTTTCATTTTTTGCTAAAATTTGAGAGGTTGCAATCCATGACTTTTATATTCTAAGAAAGAAAAATTGGAATGTCAACATTTACCTTCTGCACATTTACAGCAATGATTCACGTGACAGAAACTCAATGAATTATCTGGTTGGACACACATGTAGCATAATCTTCATTCCTGCAGCAGATGATGACAATCAATACCAGCCACTGATTAATCTATGGGTTATGCTGCTGACTGGTGTAACAAGCATTGTCCTTGTTGAAAACCAACATAGCCTTTCGTTTCAATGCTATGCCTTATATGTACCTGTACAGGTCTCTATTTCATACGTGCACTGTCATCTTTGCTTGGCTTCATCAGCCAACTGATGAATACTTAGTATTTCCCCAAATATAACGTAGCATTCTAAGTATGGCAGGATGTTTCAGTTGCATCAGAATGTCATGCACCTTGACAACATGATGAAATCTGCTGAAGAAATTCCTTCCTTAGAAAGCTCATCATTATTTAGTTGTTACATTGTCCCTAAGTTACCTGTGATTGAAATATGGATCTTACTGTTTTGAACAGGCTGTGATTCCTGAGGTGTGATTTAATGTTATAAACTCAGGGGGCCAATTCCATACACCATTAAAATTTGTGAGAGAAGCATGCATCTGTTAATTCTGAAATGCATTGGATTTTGAGGCCAACATGTAGGTAGGGGAATGTGGTGAGCACAGTGCTAGAACACACCAATGCCACACATGTGTGCAAACATGTGTCTCCGGAACGCCCTGGCTGGGGTGCCAGCCTGCCACCAAGCACCCATGATTTTCAGAAGTTCAACGCAAAACAGCTGTGTTAGCTAGCACGTTCACCATGTGCTTTCAGAATTGAACTTTATATTTCCTCCTCTGAGACAAGCAGAAAAAACACCTTATCTGGCTACCTGTGAATTTCCCGTTACAAGCCTTTGTCGCTGCTGTGGTATATTGCAGTCTTCTGAGATGGAGAATCAGTTTAGCTGCTTGAGTGGGAGTGGAACGAAGCGAGTAGAGCAGAGAGGAGACAGGGGATTTCTCCAAGATCATAAGGTGCTAGGGGTCGTGCCGGGCATCTTTAGTACCTGGCATCGACTTCTAAAATGCTGTCTCTCATAGAGTGTTTCTTAATAAAGTGTCATGATGAGTTAATCTCCAATGATGATTTAAAAGAAAAAAACAAATGTTTGTCTAAAATACACCTCTTGATGGTTAACATCTGATTTTTGTGTTAAAGAATGAAGAAGGAAAAGATGACAGTGATCCTGGTGGTGGAATACACACTGAGAAGGTCTCCCTAAAAGCCAGTGACTCTATGGAAAGTCTCTACAGTCTAAACAGTGGCCAGAGCTCATCCAGTAAGTATAACATATCCATACTTCTTATTCAGTCACTGGATCAATATTGTTATTGCTTAAGTCTAAGGTATTGGAGCTGGTGATCAAAAATGTGATAGTAGAGAGCTCTTCAGTCTGGCAGGCAAAAGTGTAATTTGATTAAATGGGTGGCAGCTAGGGTAGATATACCTCTCTCCAGAAATAAGCTGAGTGTTTTTAAGAGTGGAAATATTAACTGAACTAAAAAAATAACATGGATTATAGGGGATATTGCAGGTATATATGCCAGAAATGGTTTTGGGGGGTTATCATGGCTATGGTGCTGGCACCCATAGGGTTGCAATCACTGGGTGCAGCCACACAAGCATCCTCTCCAGGGGTAGTGGCCGTGGATTCATCCTTCACCCTGCAGATGTGAGGCAGACAAAGTGAGAGGTCTCTCTGAGATGATGGGTGAAGGGGGCCTGACCTGGCGGCTTCAGGTCATGATGCAGAGAGGCACCGTCTGCTTCTCCACAGGCCCACTGAAAACCCTCCCCCAACAGGGTAGTCTCAGTTGGAGGGCAGGTGAATCTCTGACGAGAAGTGGAGTTTGCCTCCACCTGTCTATCCATTTCTCTGCTGTGGACATTTGCTGGGCAGCAGGCCACAGCTGCCCACGATGACGTTGCTGCGCCATCACTGCAGGCACCACGTGAGCCCTAAGTGGGGGTGTGAGCTGCAGTCCAGACCTTTTGCACTTAGCAGTTAATCTGGCCCTGAGATGGAGCTGTGCACTTAAGCAATCACCTCAAACAAAACCATTTTTATGATCATTTTCTATGATGTGATTTGTGAAAATTGTATATGGGAGTTTACTTCCAACACACTGCTGCTCTTATCTAAAAACATATTTGGATGGGATATTGCAGCGCTTGCTCAAAATTGCTTGAATTACTCTGCTGATACTTTATTGCTCAACTTGGATAAAATGACAGGCAGAAATGTTGATAAGATTAAAATTTCCCTCTGCAATGCAGGTTCCTTTGATGTTTCAGCTACCTCTGTAATGAAATAAAATAACTTCTACAGTACTTGTTTTCATTTCTCTGAATAAACAGGAGAAGTTCAGCAGAATTAATTCCCTAAATTGCACTTTTAGAGTACATTTTATTAATCTGCAGAGGTAATATTTCAAAAAGTCTGTAAGTAAAATGTGTGGTCTATTAGTATCATCACCAGAAAAAGATTATTGTAGGGAAGATGCTAATGAAAGATCTCCTACCTATTTTCTTCAGTCTCTGTCGTATGCTTTTTATTGAATGTATTTTTCCTGGAATGTGTCAAAACCACACAGAGTGCACCCTTTTTCCAGTGCTGTGCTTTTGAACAGTTTCCTCTCGGCTGCTGTGCAGAATTGTGTGCCTGGGCATTTGGTGCAGGACATCTCTCAACTTGACTCTCTTTAAGGTGGGGTGACCAGCTGCTCAGACGGAACGAGCAACAGGGACAGCCTCCGGTTTGATGATGAAGTCCCTTACAGTGGGCCCTTCTGCGGTCGAGCCAAAGTTCACACCGACTTCACACCCAGTCCTTATGACACCGACTCTCTGAAAATCAAGGTAAGACAATCACCAGGATTTCTTCTTTTCCAGTAAGAATGCCAGAAGAATATATTTACTAATGCATTTTTAACCATTAAGCACGTGTAACACTAAAAGCAAGACCAACCTTGTTTTGCAACGCTTCTATCAGGACTTAGTTCAGACAATGCTGCAAAGCCAGCTGCTGCTAAAGGCTTTTTAAGGCACAGACTCGAGGTAGGTACCTCAGCATGGTATCTACGTGGATACCACAGCTTTCTGCAGGGTAAAATACATGTTGCTTCCCACATACTAGGTCTGGAGTAAGAAAAACTTGAGTCTCATGGGATGTGAAGTTGCCTCCCCAGCTTTTTCAGCCACAGCTAAGATATATCAAAAGCTCAGTGGCACCCATTCTCTTTAGTGAAAACAGTTCACCTTTCCTTTAAGCTTTTCTTTAAGCGTACCTTTGACCTATGAATTTTTTCTGGCCCTGGCAACATGGCAGGGGTGTCCAGGCTGTGTGGGTGAGAAAAAGGAGCTCCAGATGTGGGCCCAGTTGAACATTATTAAAAATCCCAGCCTTTTTCTTCTCCTTCCATGCACAGATACATTCAATATCATCATCCTTCAGCCTACTCATGTCTGCAATCCGGACTTCTTTCTTTTCCCTCTTTGTAAACACCCTCATATCCAGATTATATTCACACTTCAGCATCTTTTCTTCTTCTTCACAGCCTCTTCTTTTTGTCAAAATCCTTATCTGTATCTCACTTCAGTCTCCCTCTCCTCCTCTCTGGCCCACATTAGAGCCATTGCTCTGTCAGTACTGGCAGTCTTCAGCACATGCCCTCTACGTCCACCCACGCCTGGAGTATTTCTTTCAAAACAGTTTAACTGGTCACATAACGGCAAATGTCTGCTGGCTCACACAGGTTCATTTTCTAGTCACTAGGGTGGTGTATTTTATACTTATAAACTAATATTTAGGGTTGAAATCCCCTAAAGATAGAGAGAGAGATAACATGAGAAAACTCACAAAATTTCAGTACCCCCAATCTGAATTAAAAGTGCATCTGCAGCTTGACTTAGAGCCACTGCCTAATCCTGATCTGCATTCAGTCCTGAAGTTCCTGAGCCTCCATGAGTGTGTAGAATAATACATGTGCTTATAGGGCTTTAAACAAATGTCATAGCTCTGAGCTCCATATTCTAGCAAAACCAGGTCACTGGAACACAGTCAGTTTCAGACTTGGCTTTGTACCAAAACTGGGGTGACTGCTTAACTTGCAGTTTCTTGACCAGACCAGAAAAGATTTGGAAGCCTTGGCATTGTTAACAGATATTTTAACAAACCAAGTTTGATTTTTAGCTTTGTAACAGAATGCCAAATGAAGTGTGTTCATGGGGATTTGTTGGATAGCGCTTTAAATACTTTCAACAGGTTTGTAAGTTCTGTGGTACCTGCCCAAAAGAGAGGACTCAATTCTGAGGTGGTCGTGGGAGCAAGTTGTATAGCGGGTACGACTTACAAGGGAGCTTTTTTACTAGGAGAATTACTCAGAGTGACTGTTTTGCTGAGCTGAGACCTTGGTTCCCACAGTGTGGCTGTGAACACCTTTACCAAAATGCCCTCTTAAAGTAGCTGTGTCGTTACTCTTGTTTGCAGTCACATTTGTGAGTGAATGCACGAGTGTGGAGAGCTGAAACCTTTAGATCTGTCTGCTAAGGCACCTTCCGCTATTTGCTCACTCAATTTTGTTAATAATAGTGGGAAAATTTGTCAGTCCTTGGGGAAGGACAGATAGGAAGATATTAAGGGAGTTAAATGTTCTTTATTGCCTTTGAGAAAGGTAGCTAGTGTTTTTTACTGTAAAATGGGTAAGAGTCCACCTTTCATCTAGCTCAGCTATCAGTTTTTGAAGAGTCTTGAGATGCTGGATAAGGTCATTGTATAAATGGTTTAGCATATATTTGGAAAATAACCTCACGGTGTTCCCTTGCGCTTTGCCAAAGCTATGCCCACTATCCTTGGCAAAATTTGATTGCTGATGCAACCCTATCCCTTTTCAGGGACAGATTTTTGGAGCACAAAAACGGTGAGAGGGCTGCTTATGCTCACCTCTCCTTCACAAAGCTTTGGAGATAGGACTAACTCGATTTTCTGTAATTATTCTGCTGGAGTTTTATAAAAGCAAAGGACCTAAATCTAGGTAATTTTAAAAAGTTACTTTGGATTTACTTGTTAAGATTCTGTGCTGTCTGTGCTGGTTTTGGTCCATAGAGGAAAAGCTATGTATAACAAACCAGATGCTTTTTTTATTGTTCTAGAAAGGAGACATTATAGATATAATCTGTAAAACCCCCATGGGCATATGGACAGGCATGCTGAACAACAAAGTAGGAAACTTCAAGTTCATTTACGTGGACGTTATCTTGGAAGACGAAGCTGCACCCAGAAAGATAAAGCCGCACAGAGGAAGCAAAAGGACCAAGCCTAAAACATTGCAAGAGCTCCTGGATTGTGTCCACCTGCAGGTCAGCCAATGCGTTTCCCAGCTGTACTTGAAACGTTTCATTTCTGTGTGCTCAGGTTTGGATGTCATTTACAGGCAGAAGCAGAAAGGCAGGTTTCAGCAGTTTTGGTGTCAGCAAAGCAAATCAGCTTCGTGTCTGTCTTTTATCTGATCTGAGTGGCTTACAGAACTGCGTGTTACCACATTATTTGGTTAGGCTAAGAGACTCCACGCAAAGAGGCACGGTGGTGACTTGTCAAAACACCGTAACCTGACTGCAATTGCATGCCTACGTGTAGAGGTGTGTGGCCGTGGACGCCCCAGGGACAGGACTGCAGTCTGACTCCAGTGCCAACGTTTAGAATTTGGGTTTCTAATTTCTTGTGATCTTCAGGGAGCAATAGTCTTTTTGCATTACGCTCATGTCACACCTCTCTCCCTCCCTGCAACCCTAGCTCTCGACTGAGTGTCAAAGCATAATTAGGTCATGATTTACAGGTAACATTTTTAATAACGGTTATTGCTTTGGTGCTGATGCAAACACTCCTTTCCCTGGAGTACGCGCAGAGTTTCATACTGCGTCGACACACAGCTCAAGGGGGACCATGTGCGACACAGCACAGCTGAAGGCTTCCTCGGCTTCTCGCCCTTGCTTGTATCAAAGGGCTCCTTCTGTGCAAAGGCAGAGCACACCCTACCTCAGAGGGCCTCCTGGGCCCATCATGGGAGGCAGTCATGGGGTGACCCACAAAACTCCAGACATTCAGCAGGTGAAGTCACTTCTGGCAGACCGCTGTCCTGGTCCAATTTGCTGCCAGACTCTGTTAGACAACTCAGGCACAGATGCTGGAATGGCCAGGAGGACCCCCAGGCATCTCCAACTTTGTCGTCTCTTGCTCTCCAGCTCTGGTTTTATGCCAAAGGCAGGTCAATCAGGCTGGAGAATGGAGCCCATTTCAACCTGACAAAAAAGCAAAAGAGAAATTGTGCCTATTGCTCTACTAAACATAGTGTTCATTCACATGAGAGGATTTGCATGTTTCTTTTTGTAGGAATATGCCTCAACCCTCTTGCTAAATGGCTATGAAACTCTAGAGGACTTAAAGGATCTACAAGAAAGCCACCTGATCGAATTAAATATTTCAAACCCAGAAGACAGGGCAAGGTTTTTATCTGCAATTGAAAATCTACAGGACTACGACAGTAAGTGTTTAAGCTTTGTTAAGAGTCATGTGCAAGTGTTAACCAAAGAAACAGAAGTAAAGAAATAGTGAATCTTGCACTGATCTGTTAAATGATTTTCCTTTTAAATACAAAACATGGTGTCAGATGGTTTTGTTACTTGTTCAGATACTAAACCATATATCTCTTCTAGATATGTATATGATTACTATACTAGTAATACATGAATGATTCAAAATTTTGTATTTATAGGCTCGACACTAGAGATTGGTAGCAGCTATTGCTTAAGAACAACCTTATTTATGGTTGGGGACCCAATCCCCAGAGAGGTTAAGTGGCTTCCCAAAAGTCACAAGGTCTGTGCAAGAGCAGAAAACAAAGCCTCCCAAACTGTGAGCTAGTATCTTAACCAAAATAGAGCTTATTTCAAATAGCTACAGTAAAAAATTTTCTTAAATATTTTTAAAGCAACATTCTGCAGAAGAATACACTTTTTCCTTCCCTCACTTCATCCCACACTGAAATCCTTATCCAAATCAGTCTCTTTTGTAGGAAGGTCTTGTAAAAAAAAATAAATATATACTAATAGCTGGTTTGCATTCTTTTCTCAAAATGAATCTAGCTCAAGTTTCCGATGATCTTCCAATAGCTGATTATACGGTGTATGTATACGTACATGTATTGATCACCACTATGTTTTCTTCACTTGTTCCCTTCACTGAGAGTGGAAAAGCTAGGATATAGAACAGAAAACACTGTTCTCATGATATTTTAATGATATTTCCAGCCTGGCTTCTAATTTTAAATAATTTATGTCAAATTTCCAGAAACTACAGCAAAGTGTCTACTTAATTAGACACTCAGCCAAAACAGGGGATATTTTCCTCTTCATCAATATTTGTGCATACTCACCCCTATGCTGAGCAGTCATTTCATCAAATGTGCACTTGCAATTGAGAAGCATCTGAAAGAAAAAAAAAAGGAGACCTGGAAAAGCAATGTCTTCCTGGGATTTTTTAGCAGAGGTTCTCTAATCTCCCTCTTCGTGTCCTTGCTGACCTTGTTTTTTACTGTATGTTTAGGCTCTTTTGGGGCCCCATTTGTAAGTGCAATCTTTCCTGTTCTTAGTCAGCTTCCAGGGAAAGGTAAGGTTCTTGCAAACATGTTGGAGAGGCATTAGAAGGGTTTTCTCTGCCCACCAGATTCAGTAGTTCTTTCTGGTCTATAGCTTTGTGAGATGACAGGCTAGAAAATGAGTCTTGAAGGGTTGTCTATGTAGACATAGTGACTGAAAGAGTGAATCCAGGAAAAAAAAGGGGCTACATTTTCCAAGAATTGCGTTGCAGGGATCTAGCTGGAAATCATCTGAAAAATACGTTTGTTTCCCTAGTTTGCCTTTAAACTGAGTATAAATATATTTGTCTAGACTTCTTGGTAACTAGTCTTGCTGCAATTTCTATATCAATATTTAACACACAAAAAGAATAATGAAAATGTTGGATTGCAATTTTGCAGTTTTGCATCCGTGTGAAAAACAAAACATAATGGTTTTTAACAGACTATGCAAGTGTGAAACTATTCTGGAGTGAGGTTATGGTTTACTATTTATAATCCTTGTGTAACAGTACACATAGCAAGCAGCCTTTGACACCTAACCTTTTTAGATGACATCAAGTTTTTCTTTTTCTGAAGGTGTCTTCACACTTAATATTCTACATATACCCAGGCAAGAACTAAATCTAACAAGGTCCTCACATGTCCCATACACTGAAAATTAATAAATTTACTTAATTATCCAAATAGGGTCCAAATAGGGTTCTTCCTAATTGGCAGCAGGGGATTAAGTCACTTCTTCAGGCAAAACAGTGTCCCTGGTGTTATCTGGATGGTAGTCTAATAGTTCAAATTCTTGTAATGGTTCTGGAAATAATATTAAATCTTACAAAGTGGCCCATGCTTCAAAATCAATGATGACACTGTAATCTTAGATCAAGAGATGAAATGACTATTTGCTTCACATCCACTTTAGCTGGGTATAGCCAATCTTTCTAGTATTCAAATTCAAAAAAAATAATATTCCCAGAATTTATGAATACTGACAGGGACCAGAACCAAGACATCTTTATATACCACGCCAGCTATAAGCATTCATTTAAGTCTAGTTGAGTTTCATAAGATTCATGTATACCTTAAGGTAAGCCACGCATAAATACTTTCCTGATGTGGGATACTGTCTTTAATCAAGACTAAATCAAATCCTTGTCGATCTGCTTGCCAAAGGTTCATAGTATTTGTCACATGATGGGTAGGGACAGAACAGAATTTAACAACCTACTCTACAAAGGAAGATACCGAAGACTAAAACTGGTAGAAGCTATCTGTTACGTTGTTATAACGAAAGATGTGGAATCAAGATGATCTTGGGGATAAGCTCAGCATGAGTCTGTCTTCATCCAAATCATTTGATCTCTTTGTCCTTTTGTCAATCCAATTAGAAAATTGGGTTGAAAGAGCTGGGTGCCACTGTGAAAGTGATTTCTGCATCTGAACTGAACTTTCCTAGGTCAATATTTTTTTTTTCCTAAATGGGCATGACTCAGTCCAGCATAAATGATTTTTTAATTAAAATTGATTTTCTGCATTGCTTAGAAGTGAGCAGCATAATTACCCACAGCTACAAGGTAATCTGTTTACTGGCCAAAATTATTCTAGATATAAGTTCAGCACTTTTCCAGGTAAAAGTTCACTCTTTTTATAAGCTTTGTGAGAAAATATACTAATGGTATAGACCGTATTTACTGTTCTAAGCTGTGTGAGCCGGCACAGGCAGGATGCAGGAACAACCACAAAACCACAGATGAAATGCAAAGAGTAAATTTATTTTTGTTACCTTGTCAACTGGGGGATCCCTGAAGCGGCATCTGAGCAGAGGCACACAAGTGGGAATGCAGGCACCACGGAGCTCGGTCCGTGCTAGAGGATCACCGAACCTGCTGTTTTCTCCTGTATTTCAGGGATTTGCATAGGTGTAATTTACCACAGTGCTTTGATCTTTCCCACAGCAGGGCAGGAATCTCAAGCATGTTTGATAGCATGCATCTAAGTCTACCACAGGCCTATGTTATCTAAAAACACAGATGTTCTACTTGTCCAACACACAAAGCCAAACAACAATTAGTGTGATATATGTGTTTTTCGACACCCCAGCTGCAAGTTACTTGAGCGTGTTTACAGTCTTCCTCGGCAATCTTCTGTTATTTTCCCACATAAGCCCATCTTTCTCACAGAGCTTGGAAGACTTCCATGTTTTTGCATTATATTCGTGCTTCCATGATGCACGTCTTTAATTAAAGGATAGAGCCTCAGGTATGGTCCGGAGTTAAAAAGCAAGAGTTTCTTGAGGTTTTGTGACTCTCCTATTATTCGGAACAGCCAAGCATGCTGGAACATAGCCCCATTTTACTGGATTCTACTATAAAAGTAGTAAAACAAGATTTAATATTTCTTTAATGTGATATCTGATATTGTGAAATGTCCAGATTTTTTTTACAGGGCTTTTAATTTCTTTTTCTTTCCTTGGCTTTTTCTTGACATTTAGTGTATGTTATACTAAGTGATTTTTTCATGCTGCGTACTTGTGACTGTATAGTTCATGTTGCAGAATAAACAGTTATTGAGTTTTCTAACCAAAAGACCTGCAGCAATGGTTTCCACATTATATGCTTCTTAAAGCTGTCCAAAACGTAGGATTTCTGGCAGCAAGAATTTTTTCGTCTTACATTTGATTTACACCCAAATTAATTTGAAAGGAAAAACTTTACCCATCTTATAGCAAGAATCAAAAAGTAAGTTTATTTAGCAAATGCTACCACATAGTGGTTTTTTAAGCAGATTTTGCTTCCTAGTACCGGACTATCTTCTTTCTACCTTTCTTGGGAGTCCAGGCCCAAATTCACCATCTTGAAGTACTTCATGTAGCAAAGCTATCCTAGAACTGTAAGGTCTTGTAAGCTCTTCATGACCTTCCCCCCCTTCCCAAATCTCTTTTTAGATTTTCTATAAGTTGATCAAACCTATATATTTGGGACAAAATGATTGGTTTCCAATCGTGGCTGGGAAAGATAAAAAAAAGCTCTTTTTCCTACAGTATTTCTTAATAGCTTTCTGTTCTGCTCCCAGATGGCTCCTAGACGGGAGATGGATGTCTGTGCTTTTGTAGGATGCTATTTTTACAGTGAAGCAGTTACTGGATGGTTAATGAATAAAGTAATAAAAGAAGTATGGAACTTTTTTCTTGACTGCTTCCCAGGACACACGTTTTTGTGTGTGCAAAATAGCCTTGATTCTCTTCTCACTTAGCTGATGTAAGTCAAGAGGTTCATTCCCGAAGTCCAATGGGTTACATTAGTCCAAAGCTATTCTGAGTTAAAGAAGAATTAGACTTCATTGGATATGTGCACACAGTCCATTTTATAGAAAAAAGAGGTGTGTATGTGCAATTTGGGGGTAATATTCTATGCTTATCTCCCCCAAACCAATTTCCTTAGCTTACTTTTCATATTCAAGTGCCAGATCATACTCTAAATTCCACTGCCAGTACCAGATAACATTTATTGTACTTGGACAGCAAGATAGTAGACAGCTGAGGACATGACTTTCAGTTCTCAGTTGCATTTCTCACGTGAGGACCTGGCATCACAAGTACCATTTTACACTGGGCAGTCCCTTTAAGTACGTGGGATTACACAATATCATGTCAAGGTCAAACAGTGCTCAAAGACAATCTCCCCTTCTGTACTGTGGTACAACTCATTGACCTGGGCATTATATACTTCCAGATTTCCCAAGGAAGCTCATCCTTGCATAAGTATTAGTATTTTTCACCTTTTTTCAGGCACATCTGTTTGCTTCCAGATTTTAGAGAAAAAAGAAGCTTCTCATTTTTGTTTTCACCATATGCTCACCTCTCATGTCAGTTCAGTATCCCTGCCAGAAAAGCTATGCAACTGACTTCAGTGAGTGCAATTTTTTAGGTTGCATGTCCGTAAATACCCACAAAAGGTTTACTCCTTTGAGTCCCCAAAGTACTGCATATGTGTACAGAACCCCTCCAAGGTTTCTTTGCTTCTTTTTCAAGAAGTATTTCCATTTACTGCTTCAAAACAATCCTCTCCAAGTTTGATGCTTTGTGACTTTTCATTTCATTTTAACACTTAGGTGGTCTAACCTGTACAGGCACTACAGGCTGATACACAGCCTTCATAGGCCTAGGAGGCCATGTACCTAGGAGGTCTAACATCAGACTTGAAGACACGCTTTGTTGTCTTTAGCTGTTGTATGGTGCTGCTCAGTACACCACTGCTGCACCTTCCAGGAAGGCACGCGAGTGACTCAGTCGAAAGCATCGTGCTCCTAGCCCAGTTCTCCTTCTGGGCAAAATCCATGAAGGCAAACTCTCAGAAGGCACACTCATGAAGTACGGGTTGCTGCTGGGTCACTTTCTTTCTTTCCAAGATAAAATCCAAGCCTCCCGCCACTCATCTGGTTTAAACTGACATAACCGCACAAGAGCCAGTGTGACCTCTGTACATTCTTGAGCTGAATTGCCTTAAACCTAAGCATCGAGTGCTTTCCTAATCAGGAATTTAAACTCATTAGAAAAGGGAAAAAAGCTGGTGAAAGAAAAAAGTGATTTCTCTTTGCATGTGTCATGCACACCTATGTCATTGAATAACAAATATTCATTTCAAAGTTCTAAACAGTAAGGAAGATAAGTATGCATCACACATCTATTACCAAGGCTAAACGCCTCACATTTTTTTCAGAAGTCTGAATATAATCCTACCAACTAAAGTAGTATTAGAATATGTGTGTCAAAATGATACATATCGTGGACTCTTCTGGCCATATCATAGACAACAGTGACTGAAAGCTATTTATCTTATACGAAACTGCTTTACTGTAGAAAAATGATAGGACTTCCATTTGTTGATAAGATAGTTATTTCTGATGATTCTGCAACATCTAACGGCAGTTTAATTTTATCAATTCCTGTTTCCTGTACATTGTATCTTTCTTCTGATGTCCAAAAGATTAAGACAGAAAATTTACCTTTACTAATGCAGAGCTTGAACGTGTACATGTTAGAGGAAGGAATTTATATATTTATAATACTTAGTATCCTGTTCAAGTGGTTTAGTAGTTACAGCATAATATTTAAGCCTGCTTTAAAGAGAAAAAAAAACCCTCTAAAGTTTACTTTCAGTTTTTCCTTCTTAAATATGGGAGGTGTTCTTCAACTTTTTCTGCTCAGAATGAAAAACAGAAAATATATTTTTATGGTCTCAAATACCTGAAAATTTTTGGTTTTCAGGTTTTCATATAAAAAATGCTTCTAGGGTTATGGGAAGAGACAGAAGTTTTACATTTCTGTATGTTTTCTAAACAGAAGATCTTATTCTCCTAACCGACCTAAATTCAGATTTAAAAAAACTCTCAGTTCCAGGCTTGTCTGTGTCTTTTTCCCCGAAAGACACAAGGGAAAGCCATGGCTACAAAAGAATTTAGGATCTGTTTTTCGCATAGGAACTACTCAGATTATCACAACTAGCTACAGGACACTAATACACTGACTGAAACTGAATTTTCTCTTTAATCCACTAGTTACTTGGCCTTCTTTCCCTTGTAAAACAAACAAAGTGGATGGAGGTTCCTCTTTGACCTTGAAAATGTAAACAGGATTAACACTTTTTAGGTCACTGCTTGCCGGGGCAGCAGATGATGCTGGAGAAGCCAATCAAAGGACCAGCGAGCAGCATTAGGCAGATGAGGGGATTACAGCGGAGGGCAGGGGAGCCCTGCCCACAGCCGTGCAGGAGGACTTCACCCAGCCACCGGCTGAGCTCCGTCAGCCCACGGCAACCAAGACCTGGGTTGTCTTGATGGTGGTGGGATGGGTGAGAGGAGCTAATGACACAGTTTAGACAAGGCTTTACCGGGGCATCTGCTGTTATTTGTGCTAAACTGCTTCTGTTGCTACTAATAGCAGCAGTAATACCTTCACTGGGGTAATGCCTTTTATAATTCCTGCCTGACTTAAATCAGAAATCAATTGGACCCTACGTGATCAAATATTTTCCCTGCAAAGAGAGATAACATTTGACATGACAAACTGTGTTCTGTAAAGTGAGAAGGGGATCAAACAGTTACAGATATCAATTAAAGCTGCTGAAAGGTGTACTCCTGCATGCAGGTTCAATTAACCATGAATTTATTTGGGATCAAGGTGGGACATTTATTCTTTGGAAAGTATTTAAAGTAATTTTTTTTTTTTAAATACATCAGGTTATGCCTATAACCCCAGGCTTAATGAAAAAATAACTGACTTTGGATTCTTTTCTTCAAAAGACAGATTAGTTTATTAACTTAATTAAGCAATTGAAAGTTAAACGTAATTAATCAGTCCAAACAAATCTACAAGACTTCCATCAAGACCTAAAAAGTTTCTTGAGGTATCAAAATGCTTTGCGAAATAAGTTCATTGAAATCTCATACAATGAATAAAGGTACTGACTCTCCTGCTGTTCCATTTCAATATTTTCAGTGCGAAACACTGCAATTTTTCATTTCTAATTTATTATTTGTTATACATCACAAGACTTAAAAAAAATAAATCCAAATTTAAAATCTTTCACATCTTACCAAATCTTATAACTTCCAACTATTAAAACAGATGTCAGCATCAATTTTACTTGTAAGCATTTTATAATTCTGAGAGCTAAACTAGATTTAGATTTTGACAAAGGATAAAATCCTTCATGTGTTTAGGACTTCCATTCTGCCTGGACTTGAATTGAGACAGCTTAAATCTGGCTAAAGATTCAAAGCTAACTATTTAACCACGGAGTAAAAAGACAAGTGAAATAAGGGAACTTTCCTTGAAAAATCAAAACAGTACCATCTTTCTGAAGGCCTAAGATCTGGGGTAAAACCATCTGTTTCCTGTGAGATTTGTTCCTTATACTTCATTTGGAAAGCAAGCCACTGTTTGAAGTAAAAATACACTTACAGGAGGGCAATAACAAAAAAAAAAAGTAAAAAAGGGAAAGATTTCATATTTTACAACTTGTTTTCTCAAGAAATTTGTGATGAGTAAATATCATGTGTTTCACAGCCAGAGAACACAAACTTTAACCACAAGATATATTTGATTCGTGATATACAGGTATATCCTGTCTGCAAGGCACCAGCTTGTTGAGATTTTTTTGAGGGGTCTGTCGATACTCTCGCTGAGTTACAGATTTCTGAGTTTCAACAGATGAGTCATACAGCAGCTAAACAAGGACAAATTATTTGCAAGATGATTTGCTTCTACTTAGTTTTGGAACAGTGTTCAAAACAGCAGGAGTTGGGCATCTGGGCTTTCTCTGAGGCCTTTGTGTTTTGGAAAATAACCTTTTGGATATCAAGCTAAGCTTGGGAAGTTTCCATCAGCCACCCACTCCCACTGAAAAGTCCAGTGCTGTGCTTTAGAAAACCTGACTACCACATCTTTATGCTGAGCACTTCTGAACTCCAGCACGTTACATCTCACTACGCAGTGCACAGAGTAGGTTAAATGGTGGGGTTGCATCCAAAAGACACATCTATAATGCAATCTGTTATAAACAAGGCACAGTAGGCTACGCAATTAATTCCATGATCAGGCTCTGGAATACACAAATGTGAGAGGGGAAAAGCTGTCATCTCTACTGTGGGCATGGTGACCACACATGGTGACTGTGGCACCTGTGGACAGGCTAAAGGACCTCAGTCTAAAGGATGAGGCCAAAGTGTCTGGCATTCATCTCTGAGCAACATACTGCAGGGTCAAAGCCATCCTCAATGTCAACTTAGATGTTACAACTCATGTAATCATATTTTTAGGTCTTTGATGCTGAAGTTTCTGTTTCTGATAGACAAAATATATTGATCTAGTCATGTGTATATAACAAGCTCTGTTTCCACAGTTCTTCAAGAGCAGTCATGTTG